ATGAGACAAAGTATATGTGAACTGCTGTATGAAAAGTGAATTTACTCTGTAAATCTTCACCCAAATCAAAATAAAATTAAAAAAAAAAAATGTTCAGTAATGGCAGCCAGGTACCATTCAGTTCTGGTCTCCTGGCATGGAGGTAGTTGTCCATGAAGGCTCCACTGAGTTTTCAGTGGCTGATTTTTTGGAAGTAGATTGCCAGGCCTTTCTTCCAAGGCACGTCTGGGTGGACTTGAAGGTCCAGTCTTTTTGAAGAGCATTAAGAAGCCTGGAACTCCCTGTGGCTCAACTTTCAGCCAAATGATAGACCTGGAAGTTGAACCAGGAAGGTATGTGTTCATTACAACAACCAACTGTGTGAGATCAAAAGGGCAGCATTCGCCCAGAGATAAAGCAAACACGGCAGGAAGGGACAGGGAAGAAGGATGACAAATGGTAACCACAGGGAGGAAGTGGGAAGAGTACTGTTACATTGTGGTGATTGCAATGACTATCACAAAACAAAAGTATATGATTGTTGAATGGAAACCAATTTGCTCTGTTAACTTTTACCCAAATCACAATTAAAAAAAGAAAGGAAATCTAGAACCTTCTATATTTTGCCAGCGCTGCTTACTCTCAGGGAGCTCTGGTGGCGTAGTGCCTAAGGCACCTGACTGCAAACCAGAAGGCTAGCGGTTCAAATCCACCAGCCACTCCTCGGAAGGAAGGTTGGGCAATCTACTTCCGTAGTGATACCACCCAAGGAAGGAAGGGGTAGCTATGAGTCAGATTTGACTTGACGGCAGGGAGTTTGGTTTTTTGCCTGCTCTCAGGTGGGATCTGCTAGCTGAGAAGCCCTTTACCTCTGGCAGCAGACTTCCAGTGGAAGTCCTGGTTTCTGGCTCAGGAACATGAGGCCATGGTCAACGTGGGTCTATCAAGGGCAGCAAGTCTCCACAACGAGACTCCAGTTTCAGGCACGCCAAGTGGTCCGACCGAGTGGGCCCAATGTTCAGTATTGCAATTGGCAGCTTCTTCTCTTGGGCCATCAGGATAAACCTGTAACCAGAGTACACCTGCCCGAGGACAAAACACAGGTAAGTCCTCCAGATCCGGGAAAAGATAAACCAAGCAGGAAGTGTCTCCAGGGCTCCCTGTTCCACCCTGCCCAAATCAGACACCTGCAAGGACGATCCCACCACCAGCAGGGAGTCGGCTTCTCTGACCCGCTTGTGTACAAAGTCAACCTTGCCAGGGTTCACCGCATCTCCGAAGAAGACGACATCTGGTTTCAGGGGACCTGCACACCGAGCGCAGGAGGGGACCTGGAAGCTTTGCACCTGCTCCTCAGTGAGAAAGACATCACCGTCGGGAGCCAGGCCGTGGGCCTCGGCACTCCAGGTGGGGTTCAGTGCTTCAAAACGCCCCTGCAGCACCCTGCGGGCAGTCCGCTCACCACAAGCCAAGCAGAGGACCCTGCGGCCAAAGGAGAGATCACTGAACAGTCCGCTCTAAGGAGACACGAAGCCACCAAAGACAGTTCAGCCCCCACCATCTTCAGCCCTTTGCCATTTTGCTTTCTTTCCCTAACACTCAGTTTTTCTCCCCATTTTAGGAATACCACCTTCTGCCTTAGTTTCTTGGTGTTGCTATAACAGATATATCACAAGGGGGTGGCTTTAATGAACAGAAATTTAGCTTCTCACAGTTTAGAAGGCTAGAAATCCAAACTCAGGGTGTCAGTGCTGGGGGAAGACTTTCTCTCCACGTTTCTGCATCCTCACCTGGCCTGTATTTTCCCGTCCATTTGTGCTGGCTTCTTGGTGCCTACTCTGTTCTTTGTATATCTCAAAGGTGATTGGCTAACAACACACCCAACTGATAGGGTCTTATTAACATAACCAAGAAAGCCCTATCCCATACCATCTTGCTCCAGCACTAGTATCAAAGTTCAACAAGACAGAAAATAACAAATGCTGGCGAGGTTGTGGAGAGATTGGGACTCTCATACACTGCTGGTGGGACTGTAAAATGGTACAACCATTGTGGAAAGCAGTATGGCGATTCCTTCAAAAGTTGGAGATACAGATACCATTTGACCCAGCCATCCCATTACTAGGTATATACCCTAAAGAAGTGAGAGCCATAACAAGAACAGACATATGCACGCCGATGTTCATCGCAGCACTATTTACAATAGCCAAAACATGGAAACAACCTAGATGTCCAACAACTGAGAAATGGATAACCAAACTTTGGTACATTCATACAATGGAATACTTTGCAACGCTGAAGAATAATGTAGAATCTGCAAAACACCGCATAACATGGATGAACTTGGAGGACGTTATGCTGAGTGAAATAAGTCAGTCACAAAAGGACAAATATTGTATTAGTCCGTTATTGTGAAAGTTAAGGAAAGGTTTATATATTGGAGGACATTTTCTTTGTTGGTTACCAGGGGTGGGAGGGGAGGGGAGGGAATGCTGTTAGATAGATAGAGATAAATATTGATTTGGGTGAAGAGAAGGGCAATGTACCAAATGTGAGTGACCAATATGGCAGCACTGAGGATGAGAAAGACATAGAGAGTTACATGGGCAGTACAGACAACAAATATGAACCCTTTTGCATATACAGTACTGAGTTGTCAGTGAAAGCAAACATGGGTATAGGGACGGATAGATAGGTGAACAAGCTAAACAATTAGGTATGTCTAAATGGAGAGTGTATCCAAGATCATATATAGGGTTGGCAGACAATGGGCCTATAAGTTCATGTGAATGATCAGAATTCCCAGGTGTATAGTAGAGCTGACAAGGGGCAAGGTTATGGTCATTGCTTGGTCACAGCCAGCTACCCAGAGGGACCGAGTAGTTGATCCTGTGGGCTTGGGACCATAGTCGCAGGGGACATCAAGCTCAACTGGCATAACATACTATACAAAACATTGTTCTACCTACTACTTTGGCGAGTAGCGACTGGGACCTTAAAAGCTAGGAAGCTGCCATCTAGATGCAACAACGGGTCTCTCCTCGTCAAGAAGAAAGAAGAAAACCAAAATTAATGGAAACAATGAGTCCTAGCGACTGGTACACCATCTGATCTGCAACCTATACAACTATGAGACCAGAAGAACTAGACGGTGCCCAGCTACCACTGCCATCCACTTGGAAGGGATGTAGGAGATCCTGCATAGAGAGGGAGAACAATGTGGAACAAAACTCAAAATCATTTGGAGGCAAAAAAAAAAAGAAGGTGGGGACCAGGTTTGCTGGTCCAATAGAGCCTGGTGGAACCACTGAGACTATGGCCCCTAGCTGCCCTTCAGGTCTGGTATTGAACCCACACCTGTGGTTTCCAGCCAAAGTACAGGCACGTGAGTTAAACATTTACCTTAAGTAGACACATGCCCTGGAGAGAACAATCATGGGAGAAGGAAGGGCTGCATATGCACAGGGAGATAGCTCAGGGTGCAGAAGAGTATGAAGGGATGGACCCTGGGAGGAGGTAACTATGGGGAGGAAGGGAGGGGAGCTGCTGCATTGTAAATTTTGGTCAATGACATGAGACAAAGTATATGTGAACTGCTGTATGAAAAGTGAATTTACTCTGTAAATCTTCACCCAAATCCTAATAAATAAAAAAAAAAAAAAGAAAGCCCTATCCCAAATAGGATAGCACAGGGGTTTAGGATTTCTAACACAGACATTTTGGGGACACAACTGAATCCATAACACCTTCTCATGACCTCTTTTGCTGCCGCTCTGGCTCTCACCTTCTTCCCACTGTCAACCTTCTACAACACGTACATCTGTTTCCTGTCTACATGCTCCCTGTTTAATCTCCTGCGAGGCCGTCTTGGATATCAACCCAGCAAATGCTTCACAAATGAGTTCCTTAGTGCTGAGACTGGGGCTAGTTTTTCTTTTATCTTTTCTATCATCTGCTGTAACTGTCTCCTCGGTCCCCACCCTCCCTTTAGAACACTTTTCCCTATTGTGTGACGTCATTTACAGGACAAGAAAACATACAGAGACCAAAGTTTACTGGTAGTTACCAGGGGCGGGGTGGGGTGGGGACGATAATGGTGATGGAAAAAGCACACTGGTTAAAGGTAGGATTACCCAGCTGATTACTGTAATTGCTGTCAATGAGTTGTACGCCTGTAAAAAGTTGAACTGGCAAAAAATTGAGTGCTATATTTACAATGAAGACAAAAACCAAAAACAACTCTTTTCCTCCTTGGCTTCTGTCATGGGTTCAATTCTGCCCCCCTAGAACAGGTGGTAGAATCCTAATCCCTATACTTGTGGCACAATGGTTTACATTTGACTGCTAACCCAAAGGTTGGCAGTTTGAACCCAACCAGCAGCACTTTGGAAGAAAGGCTTTATGACCTGCTTCTGTACAGACTAGGGCCACATTTGGGAAATGTTGTCTTATACAACAACATATGTAGTTACAACATATTTTAAAAATTACTTAAAAAATTAAAAAACAAAAATTTTATTGTGATTCAGGTGAAAGTTTACAGAGCAAGTTCATCTTCCATACAGTAGTTCACATACACTGTCTCATGACATTGACAGCATTAAAATTGTTCCAAAAGATTATAGCTAAGAGCGCCCTGTGCAGCAGGTCTACTCTGTAACAAATGGGGTTGCCAAGCATCTGAAGTGACTCACAGGGAACAGGTTTGGTTTTGGTTTTGTACTTGGGGATGTGACCCTGTTTGGAAATAGGGTTTTCTTTGTTATGCACTTAGATCATACCCAAGTAAACCCCACACCAAACCCATTGCCACTGAGTTGATTCCAACTCACAGTGAACCTATAGGACAGAGTAGAACTGCCCCATAGGGTTTCCAAGGCTGTAAATGTTTACAGTAACAGACTGTCTCATCTTTCTCCTGTGGAGCAGCTGGTGGATTTGAACCACTGACCTGGTTAGCACCCACATGCTTTAACCACTGTGCCACCAGAGCTCCTTTACCCAAGTAAGGTGGGTTCTAAAATGAATCACTTCCTGACTTATAAAAAGATCGTATCAGAAACAGATGCACACAGTGGGAGAGAGACTCGTGAGGCTCACGTGTAAGCCAAGGGACCAAGAATGGCCAGCAGGCCCCAGAAACTAGGACAGAGAGGCCCACAGAAGGACTCAACACGGCCAAGATCCTGATTTGAATTTTGAGCCTCCTAAACTGTGAGAAAAGGAATTTGTTCTTTAAAGCTACCTCCTTGTGGTCTTTGTGTTACTGCAGTACTGGAGAACTAAGATAGCTTTCATGACACAGTGACTTCCAGTTCTCTCTTCACTTCTCTTATCACCAGGACAAGACCTCCACGAGGGCAAGAACGCTGTGTCTCTTGATCACCGTTCTACGCCCAACACCAAGGACAGTGCCACACACAGAGGGCACTCACTAAACAGTGAATAGAAATAAATACTGAGAGGTTCTTTGGTTACAGATGGCGACCTCATCTATGACTCCAATCCTGCCCTCTTTCCCAAACTCTAGTCCAATCTCCAAGTACACACTACTAACCAGTTGCCAAAAGACTAGTTGCCATTGAGTCAACCCTGATTCATGGCCACTCCTGTGTATCAGAGGCGAACTGTGCTCCATGGGGTTTTCAATGGCTGATTTTTCAGATGCAGATCACCAGGCCTTTCTTCCAAGGCACCTTGGGGTGGATCTGAACCTCCATCCTCTCAGTGAGCAGCCGAGTGTTAACCCTTTGCGCCACCCAGGGACTTGAGTATACCTTGCTTCAGACTGTCCAGTCATCACTCACTTTTGAAGCTTAACCTCTCTATCGCCACCATTCCTCCAGTTAATTGGGCTCAAGCCCTTGGAAAAAATAGATTGTTCATTTTTTTTCTCCTTCTGCCACTGAAAATTCTGCGGAGCACTGTTAATGGATTGAATTGTGTCCCCCCACAAAAATTCGTGTCAACTTGGCTGGGCCATGAGTCTCAGTATTATGTAATTATCCTCCGTTTAGTGATCTGAAGCAATCAACCTGTGTGTTGTAAATCCTCACCTCTAGGGTGCTAATGAAGCAGGGGACAGTCTACAGGATGAGGTTCTATCTTGACTCAATCACTTTTGGGATATAAAAGGGATTAAACAAGCAAGCAGCATTCAGCGGGACCTACTACCACTAAGAAAGAAGAGCCAGGACCTGGGGTCCCCGTGCTGAGAACCTCCAGGACCCAGCGGAAGGCTGATGACAAGGACCTTCCTCCAGAGTCAACAAAGAAAGCTTTCCCTGAGAGCTGACACTCTGAATTTAGACTTCTGGCCTCCTACATTGTCAGAGAATACATTTCTGTGTGTTAATGCTGCTCACTTGTGGCGTTTCTGTTACCGCAGTGCTGGAGAACCCAGACAAGCACAGTTCTATCTGACACACATGGGGTTGTTGTGAGTTCAGAATCAACTCCATGGCAACTGGCTTAACTAAGACAACGGTGATAAGGACAGTCAAGCTCCCCCCCTTCCAAGCACAGGTGTCTGTGGTCCAACTATTTCGCCCTCCCTGCACCTGTGCATACAGCCGTGGAGCTCTGTCAGGCGCTGACTCCCCGCCTTGGTGTGCAAGGCATCTACATTTTGGGTCACCAACCAGTACAGCTTTCCGAGTCTCTCCCAGTTGCTCAGAGCCCAGTGTGCCGGATTAGGCTGGTGGGAGGAGAACCGTGGCCAGCCCACGAAGTTTCTTGCCCAGTACCGCTGGCGGATTGACGCACTCTGTACAAAGTCCCTGTGCTGGATGGGCCTGCGGTCAGTGCGGGCATAGAGTCCCACCCCTTCTGACCGATAGTCTGGGATCCCCGACTCTGTGGAGATGCCTGCCCCGGTCATCACTAGGATTCTCTTGGAAAGGGTGACAAAGCGTTGCAACTCTTTAACCTTCTTAGGGTCCAAAGGAGGACTTGGAGGTACAAATAACCCCACAGATTCATGCGCCCACCGACGGCTAAGGCTCAGGGTCCCGTGGTCTCCTGCTGACCTGACTTTCAACCCAAAGCTCATCTTCCTTCTGGAAAAAAAAAAAAAGAAACCTCAAATGAGAAACTGGATTTTCAAAACAAAGGCAATGTCCATTGTATATATTCTCAATAACAGCACTGAGAAAAAAATGTGAAAAAAACAAAAGCAAAGACAGCCATGGACTAATGGATAAACACAATGAGCATCCTCAGGCCCTAAAAAGGGATGAAGCAGTGACACAGGCTACAAGGCAGACGCACAATGAAAACACAACGATAAGTGAAAGAAGGCAGGCTCCAAAGGCCACGTGCTGCATGAGTCTATTTACAGAAAACGTCCAGAACAGGCAAACCCTAAGACAGAAAGTAGATTACTGGTGATCTAGGGCTGAATAAGGAAGACTGAAGAAGACTGGATGCTTTTGAGTTGTGGTGCAGGCGAAGAATGCTGAAGGTACCATGGGCTGCCAAAAGAACTCACAGATCTGTCCTGGAGGAAGTGCGGCCGAGATGCTCCTTGGAAGCGAGGATGGCCAGACTTCGTCTCACCTACTTTGGGCATGTTGTCAGAGGGGACCATTCCCTGGAGAGGATGTCATGCTTGGTAAGGTGGAGGGTCGATGAAAGAGGGGAAGACCTTCGATGAGATGGATTGACACGGTGGTTGCAACAATGGGCTCAAGTATAGCAGGGATCATGGAGCTGGCATGGGATCGGGCAGTGTTTTGTTCTGCTGTGCATGGGGTCTCTATGAGTTGGAAATGACTCGATGGCACCTAACAACAACAACAACAGGGCTGGGGTGGATGGGGGTGTTACAACTAAAGGGTATAGGGGTTCTCTTTGAGGTGATGAAAACAAAGGTACCGTCAGCCCCCTTCCCTCCTCCACAGACACAACGTACAGGGTATTTATAATTTTACTTAGATTCTGTGAAAAGGTAGGGTGTGAGGAGCTATTTCAGGAACTAATAACTCAAGGATGCACTGAACAATAGGATTCTAGGCTTATGGATTTGAGAAATCAGATCCTTGCCAGGGGTGAACTGGTAAACTTTCACCACTACCACTTTCATGCCTCCAGTTAAAAAAAAAGAAAGAAAGTACTCCCATCACGGCAAATGTCAGGCTTAATATGAAGCAACTCTGGTGGCATGATGCCTAAAGCATCTGACTGCTAACGAAACCAAAAAACCGAACTCACTGTCTTTGAGTCAATTCCAATGCATAGTGACCCCCATTGGGTTTCCAAGGCTGTTTTTTTTTTTTTTTCCCCAATAATTGTTCAGTTTTATTGAGTGCTTATTATATGCCCAGCACATGAATAAAACAGACAATTCCTGCTCTCATGAAGCATAAAAAAAGACCCACCACCATGGAGTCGATTCTGACTCATACTGACCACCACTGGGTTTCCAAGGCTGTAAATCTTTATGGAAATAGATTGCCTCCTCTTCCTCCCTCAGATCAGCTGGTGAGTTTGGAACCGCTGACCTTCTGGTTAGCACCCAAATGTCTTACTTACTATACCACCAGAACTCTGAAGCATAGTGGGTGGGAAAACACAATAAGCAAAATGTCCAGTCTTCCAGGTGTTGCTAAATGCTGTGGAGAAAAATAAAACAAGGAATCCAAGGCTATAAATCTTTATGCAAGTAGACTGCGTTATCTTCCTCCCAGAGAGCAGCTGGCGGGTTTGAATCATCAACCTTCTGGTCAGCAGCCAAATGCTTTACCCATTACACCACCATAGCTCCTTAACGTCAGGGTATCAATGATTTAATAACCGGCTACCAGAATTCCTGGGAGTTCTGGTGGCATAGTGCCTAAGGCATTTGACTGCTAACCAGAAGGCTGGCAGTTCAAACCCACCTGCCACTCCTCAGAAGGAAGGTTGGGCAATTTACTTCCATAGTGATACTGCCTTGGAAAACCAAGGAGAGGTCACTATGAATCGGATCCGACTCAGTGGCAGTCAGTTTGGTTTTTGTAGCAGAATTCCTACAGATTTAACAACCAGCTTTCACAGGTACAAACTGGTTCCAGCACAGCTCCATGGGTCCTGTGAAATCCGACCTGAAACAACTAATCCTTTTTTTTTTTTTTGGCAGTTGTGATAGTTGGAGCTGTTTATCAACTTGGCTGGACCACAATTCTGTGTGGTTTAAGCAATTGTGATGTGGGTTGTTCCCACGATGGGATCAGATGTTTATGTTTTGAGCAGCCAATACGTTGAAAGGGAGTTTCCCTAGGGGTGTGGCCTGCTTCCAGTATATTTATGGACATCCTGGGAAAAGAGACACTCTTCTGTGGATCAGGATTCTGTTGTGCTGCCTACAACTGTCTGTAAGCAAACAATCCACTATTCGGCCTGGAGATCTTGGATTCGTCATTCGTTGGAATCAACAGCCAGTATACTGCCTGCCAACCTTGAGCTCCTCAGCCCCTGAAGCTGCGTGAGTCAGGAAAAGCCTCCAGCAGCTTGACGTTTGATCCAAGAACTTGGGACTGGCCAGCTTCTGTAATGTGTGAGCCATTTCCTAAGATAAATTTCCCTTTCTCTCTTTATATAAGCTTCCCTGGCTTTGTTTCTCTAGAGAACCCAGTCTAACACAGTTTTGTTGTTGTTGTTAAGTGCTGTCGAGTCGTTTCCGACTCATAGCGACCCCATGCACAGCAGAACGAAACACTGCCCAATCTGCAACACCCAGTCTAACACAGTAGTGGTGGTAAAATTATATATAACACAATATTAGCCAATTCAACATGATTTCCATGTGCAGCATACAATTCAGCGACATTTAGGAACCACATTGTGCAACTATCACCCGTGTCATTGACAAATTTTCCATCACCATTAACAGACATTCAGTGCTTTCTAAATAATCTTTTCTTTTCGATTTTTAAAAAATGTTTGGTCAAGAACATCTAATAGCTCCCACAAATCAAATCTTGTATGCACACTGGACTATTTCATGCCAGCCTAAGCCCACCTTGTCTTCTAACCTCTTAAGAACCTACAGCCAAAGTTCAACAGTGATACCACCATCAGATGCAAATTAATAATAATAATAATTAAAAAAAAACAGGCTAGTGAGTCTGCCAAAGCTTTCTGCACCTAAGAGAAATTATATTTTGGCTTAAAAAAAGGGGGGAGGGGACTGCTAAAGAGAAAAATTGGTAAAGTTGGAATCTAGCATAACATAGGGAGCTCTGGTAGCATAGTGGCTAAGACACTTGCCTGCTAACCAGACGGCTGGCGGTTCAAACCCACCAGCCACTCCTCGGAAGGAAGGTTGGACAATCCTACTTCCGTAGTGATACTGCCTCGGAAACCCAAGGAGGGGTCGCTATGAGTCGGGGTCGACTCGATGGCACATAACAACAACAACAACAACAGCATAACATAAGGCCTATTCTGTCTCTCCCAGTATGGTGCAGGGAATTTCTGAATACGGTCCATCTAACCCTAGTCTTGGAGACTCCCACCAGATGTCTGTGTGGGACTATGCAAATATGAGGTGCTTGTGGCCCACCAAGGGGATTGGATAGCTTGTTAATAACATAAATAAGGTACACAGCACCCTTGTGGAGGTGGGACCATGGAAATCAGGTGTATGGAACCCTGGTGTAAGGATTGCTCAGCACATAACAATGATAACAACAGGCTTAAAATGTAGCAGCTTTGGTGGCATAGTGCCTAAGGCATCTCACTGCTAACCAGAAGGTTGGTCGTTCAAACCCACCAGCCACTCTATGGAAGGAAGACTGGGCAATCTACTTCTGTAAAGATTTACCACCTCTGAAACCCAGTGGGGGTCACTACAAGTCAGAATCGACTTGATAGCAGTGAGAGGCTTAAAACGAGCCATCCCAGAGGCAGAAAGAAAGTTCTCACTACCATCAAGAAAGAACAGCCAGGAGTGGGGTGCATCCCAAGATCCCTGTACTGAACCGCCTCGATCTGGGAGACCGAGAGCTGGTACATGAGACGGTGAAAGACAGCAAGAAGCAGCAGCCGCAGCAGACCTGAGAGACCAGCATGAGACAGAGCGGTGGGTTTCCCTACCCAGGGAGCGAGAGAGCTGAATGCCTTCGGACAGGAGCCTTGCTGGTGGAGCGGGATGCCTCTCTGCAGACCCATCTGTAGCGCTAGAAGAACTTTGTAACATTTGTCCCAGCAGGGCTGCAGTCAAGGGGCAGCAGGGCTGAGAGAAGCAGCCTGTGGTTGAGAAACTGTCTCGATCAGAGAACTGTGTCCTGAGTTGTTTCCCATCCTGAGCTGTAACCTGTTACTTTCCTAATAAACCCCGTAATTGTATCGTCTGTGAGTTCTATGTGGCTAATGCACGGGATTATAGGACCCAGCTGAGAAGTAGAGAGTGCTACGGGAGGAATGGTGTTGCAACTGGTAAAAAGGTTGGAGGGTAACAGCATATCTGACCTCCATCTCATAGGAATTGGCCTTGGGCTGCTGGTCTTGATCCTCCTCGCCTCTAGTAAAGTCAGAAGATGTCAGATGCCACTGCCAGGCCCTTTTTGTACCCAGTGACACCTGGCTGGTCAGAAGTGAATTCCCAATCAACTTCAAAAGGTTAATGGCGTACCCCAATATCCTTTAAATCCCTTTAATGTTGCTGTTCTTCTGTCAGTTCTGACGCATGGCACCCCCACGTGTGCAAAGTAGGGCTGATCCTGAGGGTTTTTCAAGGCTGTGCCCTTTTGGAAGCAGATGGCAACACCTGTCTTCCAAGCTGCCTCTGGCTGGGTTTGAACTGCCAAACTTTTGGCTAGTAGCCCAGAGTGCAGCCGTCTGCAACACCCAGGGACTCCAAATCCCCTAATAGCCCGTTATTATTCAATCTAAGACTATATCTAAAGATGTCTTTATATGAGGAATGCATTATCTATATTTTTAGCAAATATCATTCCTTGGGGAACTATGTGTTCCATAAACCTACTTTTCATTTTATAAATTAGAATCATATTATTTAAAATAATAATAATAATAGAATCATCTTATTTCTCCATAAGCTAAGAGAAG